CCGGGTGTTCAATGCCAACCCTGTGCCCGGCACTTTGCAAGTGTGATCTTATGAGATTCTCACGCCCACTCTGTGAGGTAGGCATTCGTATCTCGGTTTTATGGGTAAACATACTGAGTCCCAGAGAGGTGCAGGGGCTTGCCCAAGGCCACAGAGCAAGCAAGTGGCAGAGCATGGATTGAAGTCCTGATCTGCCAAGCCCCTGCTTTTTCCCTCCACCCCACCTTTGAACATCTAAGAGTGCAGGACAGAGGGGCAGTCAAGGAACCCTGGACAAGGAATCAGGAGCCCACAGCTCCTTCTCATCCTGACTCTGATCGGCTAGTGACCAAGAGCAACATTCCCATTCATTCATTCATTCTTTCATTCATTCCTGGCTCTGCTGTGTGACCCTGGGCAGGTCTCTTAACCTCTCTGTGCTGCATTCCACACCTGTAAATGAGGATAACCGCACCTATTTCATGAGGTGGTTGTGGGATTACATGAATTAACATATGTAAAGTGTTTAGAACAAAGCCTGGCATGTGTTGTCAATGGTGTCATTTCATGGAGACTCCCGCCCAACCCCGCCCATTGAATAAATGGGACTATTTTTGACTGCAAGAGACAGAAACCAACATAGCTGTCTTAAGAGCAGAAGGGATGACTCAACCAGGGCCTTAGACACTGTCAGGTTCCTCCTTTCCCCTGCCCTTTCCTTCTCTACCCTCTCTCTTCTCTTTCCTTCCCCATCTCTCCCTCTGCTTCTCTCTGACTGGTGCACCCATTCTCTCAGGCCGGCCGTCCACGCCAAGGCAGAACCACAGTGACAGGCAGCTCTGTCCTGCTTACTTACTTCCTGCTTCCTGCTTCTGTCATCCTTACTGCTCCATGCCCACGAGGGAAAGTAGACACACCCCACCAGCCTGGCTTAGAGAATCCCAGAGAAGGCATCTGATTGGCTTGGCTTAGTCATAGGTCCTTGCCTGGACCAATTATATGGTCGGGACACAGGATACAATGAATGGCCCAGCCAGAGCCAGCTGTTCACCACTGAGGCCTTGGGTTGAGGTCTGGAAGTGATAATAGGTGACCAGGAAGTTTAACTAACCTGTATATCCCAAGATCTTGACCTAAGCAGAAGACAGATCTACTAACCAATAAGTTCCAGGTTTTGAAGCTGAACCAGTTTCCATGGTGGGGCACCATGCAGGGCCAAAGGACCCCAGATCACCCACTCTGGGTACCCGAGGATGGCGGTCCTGCTGGCTGGCCCAGCATCCCCATGGGGCACAGAGGATGGAGGTGGCCGAGAGAAAGCTGGCAGCTGCATTCACTCCCCAAGGCCCTGAGCAGAGATGGGCTGTGAGGACAGGACATCTGAGCTGAGCCTTGAGTCTGGGTCTGCCAGGCACACGGGATGGGGAAGGGCATTTCGAGAGGAGAGAATGGAGTGGGCAGTGGCTCAAAGGTATGAGGCAGCATGGAGTGGAGGGGAAGCCTGGGAGTTTACCGGGCAGAAGGTGGAGCATGGAGAGGTCCCCAGGGCCCCGTCTCCCAGGGTCTTGAGTGGACTCTGCTCTGTAGGCGGCAAAGAGTGGAGAGGTCAGGTCAGCATTTGGAGAGCTGACTCCAGCTACCTGGCGGGGATGAGTTTGAGCCTCTGTGGAGTCATTTGGGTGAGAGCTGGTGTCATCTCCACAAAACCAGGGGCCCAGGGGACTGAGAGGAGAGGTCACGGATGCAGGGTTGACAGGGCTCGGTGAGGGGTGAGGAGAGGGCACCCCGAGGCAGGGAGCCCTGAGAGGAGCTGAGGGGGCTCCAGGTGGAAGTGTCCAAGGGGCAGCAGATCTGTGAGGCTGGGCCTTGGTTTCCCCATCTGCAAAATGAGGAGCATGGGCTGGACCATCTCCAGGATAAATTTGCAGCTTTTCCTGTTGATGTGTCTACAGACTTGCAGCACAAGTCAATCCCTAAGTCCTCCCTGAGGCGGTGGGTGGCGCCTGGGGAACTGCAAAGCTTGGCACAAACGTGGTCAAAAGGAAAAGCCCCCAGTGCTCGAGCTCGGACTCTGAGAGGCCCTTCTTGGTGTTGCCCGTCTCACGTGCCTCCTCCCCACGGAGCAGGGGGGTGCGTGTGTGTGTCACGTCGCCCCCACTCTCCATTTCTACACAATCCCTCCCAATATCCTAAAGTGAAGTATCGCCATTCCAGATGGGGAAAAAAAGCTTTTTGGACCTGTTAGAAAGGTGAGAAAACATAACACTGGATAGTACCTAAAATCAACCAGGTGAATTGTAAGGTGTTACATTTCTGGCCACCATGTAAAAACCACCTTTCTCAATATGGAAACCAAGAAAGTGAAATTTTGCGCATTACATGAGGAACGCCCCAAGGCCTTGTGAGCCTTTGAGTGGGTTTTATTAAAGGGTAATGGTCAAGAGTGCGTCTTCAGGGGTCACACAGACCGGGGTTCGAATCCCACCTCTGCCATTTGCTAGCTCTGTGATCCCGGCAAGTGGCCTGAGTCGCTGTTTTCTCAGGTGGAAAGTGGGGATGGTGGTGGTTTCTACCTCTCAAGATTAAATGATGCCATGCACCGGATACCTGAACACAGTGCCAGGCACACAGGGACACTCAGCACAGGGTGGCTATTGTTACACCTGGGGGAGGAGGCGGCAGGGAGGTCAGAATACACTGAGTGTCGAAATTCAGCTGGGGCATTTCAGAGGAGTCTGGAATGGTAGCTGGAGATGCCCAGGGTCCTGGGGACAGAGACCTTCACTTGATAGGTGGGGCGCCAAGCTAAGAAACCTGGCCTGTGGGACCCAGGGTCACCAAGCGATGCAAAAAAGATTTCCCTCGAAGGTCTAAAGAAGTGTGCAGCCATGAAGTGGTATTATTATGAAAGTTCATTTTTAATAAGAAAGAATGACAGAAGCCTATAAAGTCGTCAAGACTGAGGCTTAACATCCCTGTAATGACATTTTATGCTTGCAGAGAACTGTATTTTCTGAAAGAACTGTCACAACTGTTATTAATCAAGAGAATTCTTCCTAAGGAAATAAAAAAAAAAGGTAAGGTATGCTTACGCTGAGGACTGGGGTCAGGAGACTGGAATCGGGGTCGCCGAGGCCGTGTGTGTGTGTGTGTGTGTGTGTGTGTGTGTGTGTGTGTGAGAGAGAGAGAGAGAGAGAGAGAGTGTGTGTGCGCGCGCGCCTGGAAGAAAGGAGCTCTCCTTCTCCTCTCCCCTCCACTCCTCCTCAGACCTCTGCAAGGCGTCGCCAGAGGGAGCCAAAGGGCCCTGAGGGACAGCGGTCCTCCAGGCTGGCTCAGCTTCCCCAGGAGGCACAAAGGATGGAGGTGGCCAGAGAGGGTGGGCAGCTGGATGCACTCCCCAAGGCCCCATCAAATAGCCAAGGGATCTTTATCCACTCCCTGGAATAATATGAATTCTCAGTTAAGTGCTGTCTGTCCTGTTTCTTTGTCCATTCATTCATTCATTCATTCATTCAACTATCATTTCTTAGGCCCCAGATAGGAGCTGTGGCCCCAGATGTGGATCAGCTATGAGTCCCACCTTTGGGAACCCCCAGTCTGGGAGGAGACAGATGTGAAACTCAAGGTGAGCTGGACTCTGATGGGGAAGCCAAGAGGAGGTCCTACATCCTCCTTGGGGGCAGGAGTTGGGGTGTGGGCAGAAGAGGAGGGGTGAGCCTTAGGAATAAGGGAACAAAGGATGCTCCTGAGAGGGAGACATACAGGCAAAAGCTCAGGGGTGTGAAGAGCAGGATGTGTGTGGGCCCTCATCGCCAGTGGTTTGTTGAGCTGGGAGTGCTGGGGAGGACGCAGGGCACCTTGTTAGCCACACACAGTGCTCACAGGTTGTTCAGAAGGTGATGGGGAGCCATGGAGTGTTCCTTCCCAAAGTGACTGTCCAATTCATCCCTGGGCCTCCATTCTCCCAGCTCAGTCTCCAGAGGCTGCAAGACAGCACTTGCTGGAGTCCTGGCTTACGGGTTCTCACCCCGCCAGCCCGTCCCACCAGCACAGGCCACAGTCTCTGTGAGCAGCCCTCCACCGTGTCACCGTCACACACATGCAGTGCTTTACAGTTTGCAAGGTGCTTCGAGAACATTCGCTTCTCGGTCCCCACCTTCTCCCGTGGACCTTGGCACATTCTCTTGTCCAGCAGGAAAATCTCCTCCTCACACTTGGTGCCCAGCTCTAGGGTCCTGTGCCCTGGGAGGCCTCCCCGACTGCCCTGGGGGCAGAAGTGACCACCTCTTTCTCTGCCCTGTAAGTCACTTCCTTTAGTGCATTCGTGGGGGGCTTACAAGAGTGTCCTCTCCAACTCCCTCCTCCCCCGCTCCCCAGCAAACTCTGTACAGACCATGACCTTCTTCTGGAAGGCCACTTTTTCTCTGTCTGCACACTTTAGAGGGGGACAGGGGACTAGAACTCAGGATGAGTGAGAGCCACCCCCGGGCTGCGGGGCTCCACAGTCTAACAGGCATTGCCCTGCCTCCACTCCCTCCTTGATTTGGGGGAGGTTTCCCTGCTGCCATCAAGCTTGGGGGGCACCCGGCCAAGGGTGGGGGTCCCTGATGAACAGACACATCAAAGGACATTGTTTCTAGTCAGTTAGAGCCCTCTGCAAGGACCTCCCCCCAGACTCACATGTCTTGCCTTGGTACCTAATGCACAAGACATGTGTGGTTCTGAAGGAGCTTTCTCCTCCATAAACCCAAAGCCACACAATTGCGAAGAGGACAAAATAAAGCCTGATAACGGAGTCTCCCAAATTAAGCCACCAGCCAGGAGCAACCGTGCAGGAGGAAATGTCTCGAGTGATGGGGGGAGCAGCTTAGTGGAGGCAAAAGGCGGCACCTCCTTCCCTTCTGATTCCTGGACAGCCATGGCTGGCCCCTTCAGGTCCCCCCATGTGGGGGACCCCTTGCCTCAGCCACCAGGCCAGTGTCACAGGCTGTTTGTGATATGAAGTCAGATCCGCAGCAAGGATGACTGCACAGATTGAACTTTCCAGGGCTGGGGAGATCATCTACAGAAGATTGTGAGTGTGTGTGTGTGAGAATGTGTGTGTGTCTGTGAGAGAGACTGCACATATGAAGTGTGTGAATGAGTGTGAGGGTGTGAGTCTGTAAGGATGTGTATGAGTATGAGTGTGTGTGAAAGCATGCATCTGTACGTCTGAGGGTGTGTGTTGGAAGGTGTATGTGTGTTTAAGTGTGTGTGTGTGTTGGGGGCAGGAAGGGGAGCTGGTGCGGAGAGGAAAGTTGGGCGCAGACTGGTGCAGGCAGAGTGGACAAAAAGAGGAAAGCCTTGTCTTTGAGTCGGGTCTGGAGAGCAGGGGAAGAAAAAAGGAGCTCTTATTGGTGGTTGTCAAGGAGATGGGCCTTGGGGTTTGCTGAACTTTCTTCCCTTAAAGCGTCCTGCCTGGGGCTGAGAGGGGCCATTTATTTCCTGCCCGGCCTCCCAGGCGGGGGTCTTCGGACGAGGCCCTCAAGGCGTCAGGTGTAGACCCCAAGCCGGTGCCTGGGGCGAATAACCGCGTTGCTCCTCTGCCCCCCAGCACACGCCCCGCCCGGGCTGTCTCTGGGGAGGCCCCAGGCTCCTCCTTCGGGGGGCATCAAACTTCCCTGGCTGAGAGGTCAGCCCGGAGGACGGGCCGCGCTGGCGGGACTGACCGCAAAGTGGGACTGTCCGACCCGCAGCTTTCCCGGCTCCCCCTCCAGACGCGGATTCTGCGGCTGTCCTACGACAAGCGCACTTATGGGCCAGTGTCCTTTGAGGAGTGGTAAAAAGTTCATTTGTTTTGAACGTCAATTTTAAACCGATCTTTATGATTTTTTTCTTTCTGGCTAGTTCGCCGCCGCATCGCCAGCGCTTGGCACGCAGTAGGTGCTCAATAAACGGTCCCCGAAGGGATGAAGGTACAATCTGCTTTGCGCGTTTGCGTTTCTTCCACTACAAATGGATGCCGCCGGCCTTTCCCCACCTCCAGGGCCGGGTGGCGGCCCCCTCCCCTCCCCGGAGTGTGTGAGTGTGGGGGGTGGGAGCTGCCCCCAGAGGGCGGCCACCCGCCACGACGGGGCCAGGGGAGGGAGCAGCCCCCGAGCAAGCCCCAGCCTGGCCGAGACCGTGC